TCCGTTTCGTCTGATGCCTTTTTGTCTGATGCCTTTTTGTCTGAGTCCTTTTCGTCTGATGCCTTTTTGTCTGAGTCTGTTTCGTCTGATGCCTTTGTCTGAATCCGTTTCGTCTGATGCCTTTTTGTCTGAATCCGTTTCGTCTGATGCCTTTTTGTCTGAGTCTGTTTCGTCTGATGCCTTTGTCTGAATCCGTTTCGTCTGATGCCTTTTTGTCTGAGTCCGTTTCGTCTGATGCCTAATTGTATGAGACCTGACACCTGATGTCGTTTTTCCTGAGAGATGAAGCTTTTCAGTCTGAGGCGCGCGATGCCGTTTTGTCCAATGAATGAAGCCTTTTAGTCCGAGGCATGACGCCTTTTCATTTAATGACTGAGGTCTGAGGATGTCCTAACATGTACACCGGGTGAACTATCCCTTTAAGTTAGACAGTCCACCGTGAGCAAATGCTTCTCTGCAAACTGCGCGTTCATCATTAGTTACTGGACAGACCCATTGATAACTTTCCCGTTCAGCTCTACATCTGGAGAGCCCTGTGTTCAAAGGGCGGACGTGAGCTCCTCGATGTTTTAAACCGCGCAGGTTTAGCGCATCCTGCGCTCGCGTGAAAGGGCTTTAACGGCGCGCGTTCTGGAGACTCCATCATCACCATGGAAACAAAGACGCCAAGATGAGCTTCTCTAACTTCTTAGGAAATCAATTTCATTATAATTGCTATTAGCATTATAAACGGTGCAAAATACTTATTTGTTGATTCAGCTTGTTGGCCTTTGTAAAATACGGGACAAATCGCGTCCCGTATTGATTTGATACAGGACGCATTATTTTACCTTAAAATACGGGACGATTCCGTATTTTAAGGGAGGGGGTGTCAACCCTAGTTGTAAGTGTTGAATTCACTTCCATTTTATATTCATTTTCAGAGCTATGCGGGCACTTTTCTCACGTTGTCTTCTTCTTATTATTACTACTACCCCAGACAAAATATAGTAGTGTTTTTAAAAGAAATAAATAAATATTAAATTTAAAAATATATATTTTTCTTATAGCCTATATATTACATTTGTAGAAGTAGTCTGGGTATTATGAGAGCCAGAAACATGTTGAAGGCTGCATGGCCTTTGTGACTGTGTATAAACGTGAGATTCACATGGGAAGGTCTGAGAGCCATATATTCCAAACTATCATTTATTAAACTTTTCTGTTGGACAGTCCTGGAAAATTACAAATAAAGTTTTTTTTTTCTTTTTTAATAGACTGACTGACACGATGGAAACAAAGACGCCAAGATGAGCTTCTCTAACTTATGAAATTAATTTCATTATAATTGCTATTAGCATTATAAACGGTGCAAAATACTTATTTGTTGATTCAGCTTGTTGGCCTTTGTATTGATTTGATATGGGACGCATCATTTTACCTTAAAATACGGGACGATTCCGTATTTTAAGGGAGGGGGTGTCAACCCTAGTTGTAAGTGTTGAATTCACTTCCATTTTATATTCATTTTCAGAGCTATGCGGGCACTTTTCTCACGTTGTCTTCTTCTTATTATTACTACTACCCCAGACAAAATATAGTAGTGTTTTTAAAAGAAATAAATAAATATTAAATTTAAAAATATATATTTTTCTTATAGCCTATATATTACATTTGTAGAAGTAGTCTGGGTATTATGAGAGCCAGAAACATGTTGAAGGCTGCATGGCCTTTGTGACTGTGTATAAACGTGAGATTCACATGGGAAGGTCTGAGAGCCATATATTCCAAACTATCATTTATTAAACTTTTCTGTTGGACAGTCCTGGAAAATTACAAATAAAGTTTTTTTTTTCTTTTTTAATAGACTGACTGACAGGATCCCACCATTTGAAAAAAGCTAAAAGGGCTCATCATTAATTGTGTAAAACAAAAAGTATGGAGGAAAAAAATTGGGTATATCCTCCTGAGAACCAGAAATAAAAAGCTTTGTGAATTTAGTATTTTTTCATGTCATTACATTGTTTAGAGCATAAGAAAAAAATGGTAAAATAAAATTTTTAAAAAATTATATTTTATTCATAAGTTATGCTATGTCCTCTGTAGAGGACACCAGGACTCAGTTTTTCTAAAAATAAAACCAATATGTGTAATAAACATGCTTTAAGTCCTGGTGTCCTCTACAGTGTACATTTTTCTGAGATGTTGATTTATGACACACAGTTTAAAAATTTGTCAGATTTAAATTATAATTACAAAATATTATCATATTTCCATAAGGATGTACAATTTTATCACTAAATTAATGTCAGCTATTTTTAAAAACCAAGGAGAGGGAGTGGTCATGGTGAAACATCCAATCATTTGGTATCTCTGGAAAGCCCTGAACGTGCTCTGTACAGGACATCCAGACTTAAAACGGTCTCAGAGAAATTCACTAAAATATAGTGTCCACTACAGAGGCAAAAACTCCATAGCTGGGTCTCAGGAGGATATATTCACTGGGCAACAGCTGGAAACAAAAAAATGTTAGAAGGAGAATCTGGAATGGAGCAATTCAGCTTTAACGACGTGTGACACAGTCAACTCTGTCTGTGTCTGTAAAGGTGTGAACTAATTGGTCCATACATCTAGAACAACAAAGTGACAGTGTTCCTCAGGAAATCTAAAAATGCACAAAGTTTCCTGTGAGGGGTATGTTTAGGTGTAGGGTAGGTGTATCAAGTGTATCAGGTGAGGCTCCATAGCTCAGTGGTTAGAGCACTGGTCTGTGGTCTTGTAAACCAGGGGTCATCAGTTTGATCCTTGCTGGGGCCTGAATGATGTCTAAAAGACACTTTTAAGCAAGAATAAAGAAGAATTTGCAGACAATGTGACTGTAAATACAATATAATAGCAGCAAAATGGTTGCAGATGTGCAAAAGGCAATCATACAGGAGACAGGCACGCAGGAGCACTATCTAGTGATGTCAACATGTATCTAAAACATTATACGTGTCTCAAATTGTGTACTTTTGCACTAGTCTACACCATTTTGTGGTATAAATAGTGTGACTGTTCTCACACTAAAAATTCCAAACTGAAACTTTAACCAAACAAAAAAACTATGTGTGGAATGTTGGACACTTCATGCATTCTGTCGCAGCTTTAACGACGTGTGATGCAGTCAACTCTGTCTGTGTCTGTAAAGGTGTGAACTACTTGGTCCATACAATTAGAACAACAAAGGGACAGTGTTCCTCAGAAAGTTCCTGTAGCGTATCCATATTAGATTAGTTTGATAACTACTCGTCTTGTGTATTGCAGGATCTCCATGTATCTATTGTTTGTGACATTTGTTTTCAGACATAAAGGTCTGTCCCACAGACAGAACTTTGTGTTATGATTCTTTGAAGGCTGACACGCTAACATCTCTGCTGAAGAACTGTGCTACACTACTACTTTCACAAAATTTTGGTCAAGCTTGCTTATTTTGTTTATTAGAAGATATTGAAAACATTGGTGATGCAGTGTGGTCCAGGCAGAAGGACAATAATGATGCATGTCAGAGATAGATCAAATTTATATAAGGAATAACAAATCACTCATACTGGTGACCAAGGCAAGTTCTTTTGTAAACTGAGAACTCAAATGAACAGTTACATAATCCATAACAGGAGAAAATTTAATTTCGGTTTTATTTATAATTGAAAATCAGAGATCTTATAAAAATAGCCAAAAATGAGTTGGATGATTTTTTTGCTCCTTTTGTTTTTAAATCTTTTTCCAACTTTCATAGCTTTCTGTGAATGGGAAATTTCAGTACATTTAGATAATACATAATATAGGGTATATATAAAATACATAATATATGGTAGGCCTGAGAAGCATGTTATCACATCACAAGCAATCACCTATTTGTCATCTTTAAACAAGGTCAAATGTAGTGACCCTTAAAACAAAACAGACACAAAAACCAATACTGGTTGCAACCAAGCAAACATGATTGTTTGATAGTGTAAACAAAAGAAACTCAACAGCTAGACACACCCCTTACAGAGACACACAGTGCCAGTACCTTTCATAGGTGAGGCTCCATAGCTCAGTGGTTAGAGCACTGATCTTATAAACCAGGCGTCGCGAGTTTGATCCTTGCTGGGGCCTGATTAATACATAAAGGATGCTTTTGAACCAATATCAAAAGTGTTTACAGACGTAAATGATTGTCGATAGAACAGAATCGTTCAAATACAGGTGCATCTAAAAAAATAAAACCGTGAAAAAGTTCTTTTTTTTTGTAACTTATTTCAAAAAGTGAAACTTTCACATATTCTGGATTCATTACATGTAAAGTAAAATATTTAAAAAGTTTTTTTGTTTTAATTTTGATGATTAGACCTTACAGCTAATGAAAGTCAAAAATCCAGTATCTCAAAATATTAGAATATTTACATTTGAGTTTCATTAAATGACCATCCCTACAGTATAAATTCCGGGTATCTCTTGTTCTTTGAAACCACAATAATGGGGAAGATTGCTGACTTGGCAATGGTCCAGAAGACAATCATTGACACCCTCCACAAAGAGGGTAAGTCACAGAAGGTCATTACTGAAAGGGGTGGCTGTTCACAGAGTGCTGTATCAAAGCATATTAAATGCAAAGTGGTCTGGAAGGAAGAAATTGGGTAGGAAAAGGTGCACAAGCAACAGGGATGACCGCAAGCTTGAAAATACTGTCAATCAAAGCAGATTCAGACACTTGGGAGAACTTCATGAGGAGTGGACTGAAGCTGGAGTCAGTGCATCAAGAGTCACCATGCTCAGACGTCTTCAGGAAAAGGGCTACCAAGCAAGCCACTTGTGAAACAGAAACAACGTCAGAAGCATCATACCTGGGCTAAGGAGAAAAAGAACTGGACTGTTGCTCAGTGGTCCAAAGCCCTCTTTTCAGATCAAAGTAAATTTTGCATTTCATTTGGAAATCAAGGTCTGGAGTCTAGATCCAAGCTGCATGAAGTCCAGTGTGAAGTTTCCAAAGTCAGTGATGATTTGGGGTGCTGTGACGTCTGCTGGTGTTGGTCCATTGTGTTTTATCAAGTCCAAAGTCAATGCAGCCATCTACCAGGAGATTTTGGAGCACTTTATGCTTCCATCTGCTGACAAGCTTTATGGAGATGCTGATTTCCTTTTCCAGCAGGACTTTAGCAGCTGCCCACAGTACCAAAACCACTTCCAAGTGGTTTGCTGACCATGATATTACTGTGCTTGACTGGCCAGTCAACATGCCTGATCTGAACCCCATATGGAATCTATGGGACATTTTCAAGAGAAAGATGAGAAACAGTCGATCCAACAATACAGACGAGCTGAAGGCTCAATAGTGCTTCAGCAATGCACAGGCTGATCGCTTCCATGCCACACCTCACTGATGCTGGAATTTGTGCTAAAGAAGCCCCGACCAAGTATTGAGTGCATAAATTAACATACTTTAAAGAACTTGAACGTTTCTGTTTTGCAAATCCTTTTATGATTGATCTTAGGAAATATTCTAATATTTTGAGACACTGGATTTTTGACTTTCATAAGCTGTAAGCTCCAATCATCAAAATTAAAACAAAAAACCTTTTGACATGTTGTACTTTACATGTAATGAATCTAGAATATATGAAAGTTTCACTTTTTGAAATAGGTTACAAAAAAAAGGGTCTGGCTGCAGTTTGGCGCTTGCACTCTCAGATGTGCATTCTGTGACGTCGCTAGCGGAAGTGCAAGTGTCTGAGAGTGCAAGTCTGGGAATGCACATCTGAGAGTGCAAGCGCCAAGCTGCAGCAAGACCCTTTTGTGAGATGCACCTGTAGATCTGATAATTGTTCAACACTACAAAAGACACCAAGGTCTTCAGACTATATGCAGAACTTCACCCTACATGTGAGTGCAAACAAGTGCTGCAACTTTCTGATCTGATATTTCAAGCACTTCACAGAATATAGGCAACACTGTTTTGGATAAATTTTGTTTTAATTTTGTATCATTGCATTGATTTACATCTGTGTATCTGTGTGTGTTTACTCTTATTAGGAAACATGTAGGTGAAATCTAATATAAAGTAAAGGCACATTATCTTTCACATTATCACAAAAACTTTCACTTTTTAAATATCCAGTTAGTTTTAAAAAGAATACAAAAAAACATAGGCATATAGGAAAAAATGAAAACATTGACGTGGAAAAAAGCTACATCTGTTGTAATTCTTTTTGTCAATCTGTATAGCACAATTATAACACTAGGATTGGATAAACAATGAAGTTATGCAGACAGAAGAATGTCATTTGTGACACATGAATCACGTGTTTGTCATTCCTCCTAAATTTCAAACAATCAAAGCAACAGGGAAATGTTGGACACACCCTTTGAAGGGTTGTTCATATGTACTTTTCATATGGTAATGAGGATGGTTACAGAACAGGTGAGGCTCCATAGCTCAGTGGCTAGAGCACTGGTCTTGTAAACCAAGGGTTGTGAATTCAATCCTTGCTGGGGCCTACTAGACACTTTTGAGTAGTAATCAAAAAAAAGTTGACAGATATAGATGACTAGTGGTACAATAGAAGAGAACGGAGCAAGTCTGGTATGAAGTGTTCAACTGGGAGTAAACAAAAAATGAAAGCTAAGACACATCACAGATGTTCAATGATCCTGAAAGAAGTCAAATGTAGCAAAACAGACACAAGATTGGTTGCAACCAAACAAAGAAATGACTAATTATTGTCCAATCTGGTGAGACAGTGTAAAAGATGTAAAACAAAATATTAAGCAGCACAACTGTTTTCAACATTGATAATAATAAGAAATTATTCTTGAGCACCAAATCAGCATATTACAATGAATAGCCAATTTTTTGACTTTGTAAACTTTAATCAAATCATCATAACTTGCTCCTCTTGTGATATGATTGACTTGATATCTGTGATGTACGTATGCATGACTGTCCTGCATAGGTGCTCACATGACTAGTGTTCCCTTCCGGTATGCCAGATACACCCCTTACAGATGCAGAAAGATTGTCAGTACCTTTTATATGGTAATAAGGGCAGCACAAGAACAGATGAGGCTCCATAGCTCAGTGCTTAGAGCACTGGTCTTGTAAAACCGGGGTCGTGAGTTCAATCCTTGCTGGGGCCTGTGAATTAATTTACTTTTAACTAGTATCAAAAACATTTGCAGACATACATTATTTCCAAGAAATCTACGTATACAGAACTGACATGAGGAACACGTACGAGCCATCACTTGTGTGCTCTGAAGAACTTCTAAAAAACTCGAAGCAAACTATTATGCCTATATGTAGAATCAAATTTACTCAGGAAATGCATCATAAAAACCAAGAACAGATTTAATGGTTCAAAAATATTTCAATATCAAAACATTTATACATCAAATCCTGAACTGTCTTGGCATAGAAAGTACAAAAATACTGCACAAATAATAATTTTATACAAAAACAATACAAAAATCTGAAGGCTGCCATGCCATAAATCAGAAGAAACACCATTAAGACAACAGAAAGCAGATAGATTAAGCAGAGAAACTAGATGAGAAATCGTTTGTCAACCAGAGTTTTGCTTGCTAGGTTCCTGCGGCCCATTCCATTTCGGATTAATCTGAAGACCTGAAGGAGAGAACATTAAAACTTCATCTTAAACATCAACTCTAGAGCGTCGAATTAAACCAGTCCATTCACATATTCACATATACTAACCAGCTGCTGGAGGTATGTTAACACAGCTGCGAGAATGAAGTTCTGACTGCTCAGATCCACCACACAGAAAAAGAGGGTGTCAAAGATCAACAGAACAGCCTCATTACCATAAAAGAGGACATCAGCAAATGAGTGAGAATCATCTGAGAGAAGATAAACACAAAAAATGCAATCAATCAATCACTCAAAACACTAATGATTTGATGAGATTTGCAGAGTGTTTTTTTACCATTATAGAAGATGCTTTTATCCAGTGGCTCTATAAACTCCATACCGATAAGTCTCTCAAATAGCAGCTTATCTTTCACTATGTAATCCATCTCACGATGAGCCTTAGAAAACAACAGAATGAGCAAATCAAAACACAAACCAACCATAGTAAACTACTGGAAAAATCACAAGCATCAATGAAATGAAATTCTCACATGATCAATGACAGAGCCCAGGAATCGGTTCATAGTATGGTAAGCTTTTGTGCTCTGCTCACATGGATTGGCTGAAGCATCCACCAACCTTGAGGGCCCACTTCTCTGTAGGGGTAGAGACATTTTTAGCCACCTTTACCAAGAGTGATTTGTGTGGGAGATCACTTTGCTATACCCTGGGAAAAAATTGACTTCAGAAGTAAGCAAAATGTGACAAAAACAGGAATCATGGCAAAAGGTAAAAATGATTCATTAAAACAAGTAAATTGTTTTTCTAAAAATGGAAAAAGTTTTCTTGTATGTAATAACATTTCTTAATATAAAATATTCTTTATCGTTATTTGCTTTGTTAAAAAACAATGAAAGCCTATGGTAATGTCCTCTTTTAGATAAGTAAATATAAGTGTTTATGTTTGTGTTTATACCCTGTTGATTGGCTCAATTATCCGGTCATATTTTGCTCGCAGGCGGTTGGTTATTGAAATCTGAAATGTCTGAGTGTCTGAGTTTGGCAAAAGTCCCCTTTGGCCACACAGATTCTCCTAAAATGCATAAAAATAAAATGAGTTCTCATTCAAACTTTTATTATTAAATGTAAGACTCAAAATTCATCCTACCGCCTCCCTCTTCAGGTTTGTATTCATTTCATCCATGTTAGTGTCAGCATGACCATGAACAGAACGTCCATGAATGTAGTAGCCAAAACATCGATGAGACAGCAGCAGCACTGAGATCTACCAGACACATACACATACATACAAAAGAAGAAAAGACAAAAATCAAGCAACATTAAGCCATTACATACTGTATGTTACGGTCTAAAATTGTACACTTATTGTCTATGAATTATAGTCTATTTGCAAAGAAGATTTCTAACCTAATACTTACATTGCTGATTGAGCACAGATCCACAAACTGGCGAATCTTGTCTTCAACAAAGCGTTCATGGAATACTGTGAAGAATATCATCTAAGGTAAAATGACACAAAAAGGAACATGAGAAACAGCACAGGTGACACAAACATAGACAGGCTGCTTGTTTTGAAGTATACATGTTCTCACCTGTATTAAGCCAATGCAGAGCCACATTGCAGAAGCCACACCGTAGCGGAGTATGAGGCTGTATGGTGGTGTGTATGCCTCAGGAGACCGACGCAGGTTGGATGAGGGGTCTCTTAAAGCCAAATTTGAGAAGCCCACCACCTGCAAGCACAATATTCGACATTTGTTAAAGGAGATCTATTATGCTTCTTTTTACAATATTAATATACATTTTAGGAGTCCACAGAATGTGTCTGTGAAGTTTCAGCTCTAAATAGCCCATAGATCATTTATTATATCATTTTGAAAATGCCTATTTTGAGCGCAAGCAGAAACAGGCTGTTTTCGTGCATGTCTCTTTAAATGCAAATGAGCTGCTCCCCACCCCCTTTTCCAGAATAGGACTGTGCCTTTACAGCTCATATCTCAGATAGTCTGCTACAAAAAACAGTTTTGTATTGTTTTTTCATGTATATCACACTGAAGTCATGCCTTTTAAAGCCATATCAGTTTAAACTTCTGATATAGGCCTACGGTTTTCTGAGCGCACACATCCGAAGCACGCGCACAGAAAGCGAATGTCACATGGCATGTGAGTACTAAACTAACTTCTCTTTAATGTCTTATTGCGTTTAAACTGCCATATACACACGAGAAATTCATTCAGTTATGTCTGTGAAGGTAAACAGCTGGGAAATGTCATCAGTGCAGCCAAACACAGAACAGTTAGCATGGCGGTATGGCATGGTACACTGTTGTCTCTTGTGAAAACACAATGGCTGCGCTGTGGGTGGAAATGGCTCGTTTTTTCACAAGCTTGCAGAGAAAGGCTTACAAAACACAATTACTGGGTTGTTCTTTTTTAGGTTTTCTGGGTTGGTAGATTATAGCATTTAAACAGGTCAAAAGTCAGATTTTCATGATATGTCACCTTTAATACAGTCCATATTAACATGATAGTATGCTCTTTAAGTGGCTCTTTAAGTATTTTGGAAATAGGTTTTGAGGCAAACTGTAGATGTTTTGGGACAGAACTATAGTGTGTTGTTGGCCTCACCTCCAGAAAGAAAAGCACAGCAATGACCTGAAATGTGGGGTTGATCTTGCGAATGGTCTGAATCTCATTCCACTCATTGGCCACAAAATATGTTCTCCAGATACTGACAGAAGATGCTTGACTTTTTGCTTCGCCAGAACCTGAGCACATTACAACATAATTATAGAATATACAGTATCTCACAGAAGTGAGTACACCCCTCACATTTTTGTAAATATTTTATTATATCTTGTGGCCAGCGGTTAAGACATTAATGGCTGTATGTTGAGTTATTTTGTAAGCTGTACACTCACTACTTTACATTGTAGCAAAGTGTCATTTCTTCAGTGTTGTCACATGAAAAGATATAATAAAATATTTACAAAAATGTGAGGGGTGTACTCACTTCTGTGAGATACTGTATATGTGTTATTAAAAAAATAAAAAAATGGATTAAAAGTGTAGAGTTTGTATCGGTATTATGAAACATGCATTTGAGAAGCACATTAGAGAAACACTGTAATTACCCTCCACATGTTTACTGGCTTTACCACGAGGTCTTTCCCAGTCTATGAAGAAAATATCCACAGACAGCTGAACAAAGAGCTTATGAAGAAATTGTACAGTCTGTAACAGAAAATAAAGTTGGGTTAAAGAAGGGAAAAGACAGACATATACTTAAATAAGCAACCTGTAGCGTATAAGCTAATATTCATATTTGTACTCACCTTCAAAGCAAAGGCACAGCCAACATAAACAACAAAGCGCTCTTCCTGAGCTGGTAATGGCAGCAAAACAGACACAAATAGCTGGGCCTGGAGATATACAAAAGGCCTTTTCTTTATAGGTTTTAATTTCTGTTTTAAGGTGTGTTCACATTGGTGAACGAATAAGATTCATGCTTTTGTTCACATGACCAGAGCTACAGCTATTATATAAAACTATGACTTGATGGCACACACAAACAGAGTATAAACAGTTTGATAACATGTAAATACTGTTTGACTTCCTTTCTGTGACAAGTGGGTGTCAGAAACGCAATGTTGCACAGCGCTTGTCTTGATGCGAACAGGCCTTTAGACCTAAAGAGCTCCATCAAAAAAATAAAGGGTCTGTATAGACTGCACATCCTAGCAAATAAATCTCATTTGACAGGACAGTGGAAGAAATTCACAGAAACACAGATACTAAACTGATGTCTGATGAGTGGGTGAGACTACATTTAACAACAGAAAAAGTGATAGACTTGCCTCCACTGTCTGGAAAATATTGAGAGGAAAAGCAAAAGAAAGAAAAAGGAAGAAAAAAAAGACTCATGTGAGGCTAAATCATATTCATAATAGACTAGACATTGCCACTCACAGACATGATGAATGCAAACCTTAAAGAATATGAGCCAGTAGAGGCCTGTTCCAACTGTGATGATGAAGAAAACATTTGCCAGGTCACCAGCATAGAACACCAGAAACGTCATAATAGTCTGAAACAGAAATTACATTATTATGCATCTGGGTTGTGAATTGTTTATAATCATCTCTGAATGTGAGCCTTCACCTGCAGGTCAATGAGAGGAGATGCGATTCTTCTTTTCCAGCTTGCTGTCTTCAATAAAGAGTGGACAACAGCCACCCCACCCAGCACACCAAGAGCAATCTGGATATGAATCCACATATGAATAAGCTCACCAACATAAAACAGAAAACTGATTTTCGTTGTTCATACTCACATCAGTTTTGACCCGAGCTTCTTCCTGGTCCATCGTATACTCAAGAGAGAATGACACCTGTAGATATGTACATAAAAACAGAAATTAACCTGTTTGGCTGATCACATAAACACTTTAAAATGTGTAAAATATTTAGCATTTATTACATTTACACTGCATCATGCATCCTATCTGTCAAAAGAATAAAAGATTTTTTGATTAATTGCATTAACATATGCTGGAGACATACTGTAACAGTCTGTGTGGTGGGGTCAGTGACGGGTATATCTGAGTAAGTCACAGTCATCAGAGGGGGGTACACCTGTCCCTTCTGTGTATTCGGCACCAGCTGAAACCTGTTCAGTGCAGGACATCAAGCTTAGTGTGATCTCCCACTATGTGTGCTTTATGTGTTTGTGAGTGTGTAGTACTTACCCGATCTTAATGTTAGAGGCCACACGTATGACCCCAGGTGAAGCACTCAAAGAGTTTTGCCTTCCACTCAACGTGTCCACAAGCATCAGCCTTCGGGTCAGTAACCAGTTATTCATGTTAGATCCTGACACAAGAGAAGTCAGCATGGTGATAAAGCAGCAAGGACATGATATGGAAGTGTTTGATCAAAAAATGTGTTTGTATATTGTACCCTCATTAGTGAACTGCCCGTTAAACTGCTGGTTGATATTTAGGAGAGGCACTGCAAGAAGATGCTTGTCCTCCTGTGGCTTCTGAATGACCAGGAACACGTCATAGAACACAGGCTCTGGATACCCATTCAAAAGCTCTGACACAGAGAGAACACACTAAGAAAAGAAAAAAAACTTGAACATACATCCACATATTCAGCTGAAAATAAAAACATGTATATTGACCAAATGGAGAAACATATTGCTAAATATGGAACACATATGGACAACAACAGAAGATAAGTCAGACTCACACTCTGCTTGTAGGCTGTCCCAAACGTGAAAGCAGACTGTTGTCTGGTAAGGGTGTCTGGACAGAGCTATAGAGGATTTAATTAAGCATATTTGCACATTAATAAAAATGTTACTAATTCTGAAAAAAAAAAAAACCTGCAGAAAATCTTAAATATTTTTTTTAGGAATGTCATTGTATGATAGGTTAAGCCAAAGACTTGCTAATCAACGCACTGAAAAACACCTCAAATAAACAATCGTATCAACTGACTTGACGGGAGTTTAGCTCTGCATCACATTTTAATGTCATGTGTATTTTAAATAGTTTTAAAGAACACAAAATATTCTTAACCTTATTTTTAAGTTAGAAAATAATAAAATAGTTGAGTATAATTTTATTCTTAAGAAGAATTTGTATTGGCGACGACAGCATAGTAGGCAGTGTGTCGACATATAACGCCGTTCGAATCCCGGCTCGAGGACCTTTCCTAATCCCACCCCCTTCTCTCTCTCCCACTTTGCTTCCTGTCTAATCTACACTATCCTATCTTAATAAAAGTAAAACGCCAAAAATAAATCTTAAAAAAAAGAAAAAATAATTATTTGTGAATTTGACGACAGAAGAGAAATTGATAATGCCTGCCTACCTGGAGGTTTCCTCCACCGACGCTCTCCCATCTCAGAAACTCCCCACGCACTGAGTAAACAGCAGCCTGCAGCTCGATGTCAGTGTTCTGAAAGTGAGAGGAAGGTTTGTAAAAATTACTACATGCATGCTTATGCTTACAAGATGTTTAGATGTCAAAAGTGTTTACCTTTTGTGCCCCTTTAAAGCTGAATCCAACAGGAAGCGGCTCATTCTGTATAATCCGTGATGCCAACCCAAGCTGGTCTCCATAGTAGAGCCAAGGCAGGTTTGCCCTCCTAGAGTCACAAATGAGAGTGAGGGTCTATGAGGGTCACAAATACAAGTAAACAGGATTCTTGCGCCCATTAGTTAAGAATTTAAATACTTTACAGAGACACAGACACTTCATAACAACATCATATAATATCAGATCAAATCAGGTCTGCCCATATCACTTCTGAGACAGGAAACAATTTATCTCGAACGAGTCACACTGTATTTAATAATATAACATTGCACATGACGGATCTCCTATGGTTATTTTAAATACCCTGGGGTTCCAATCTAGGGCCCCACTGCCCTTCTGATGAGAGGGATAAAGCACAATCAGCTGATCATTATGGCAAATAGACTTAAGATCTGCACTTACAGTGGTTTTCTATATTATCTTGTATCACAAGAAAGATGTATCACGAGAAAGATGTATTTTCAGAGCTGCTGTTAGTGGAAGTCATGTGACAGGGGTTGCCTGTAGAGCATGTACTTTTTTAACCAATGCCAAGTGTACAGTCATACAATGGCTATAGAGAGTCATATGTTAACCTGAAATATGTATTGAAATAAGAATCACGAGAGTAACATATAGGGAGTCATATGATACGTTTTTTTTTTTTTACAAATATAATAGGAGGCTTGTTTGCCACAATTAAAAAAAAAAGTCTTGATGTATGAAATATAACTGTGGATGACAGCTAGAGGTAAAAAATAAACTCACAAAATGATATATAAACAGAGCATTGAGACCAAAGATTTCAGATGTATAGCTGGACATCTCGGCTTTGTTGTTTGCCAATAAAGTCTAATTTTGACACCTGGAACCCCAGCTTTGAGAGACTTCTTTCTCAAAAGAGAAAAAAATAGCGTGAGCCACAACACACTGAGCTAATTATACTATTTAAAGGGGTTCAATAGTAAACACTATAAAGTACTATATAGTAATTGTATGCGTGTTACCAGTAGGAGACGTCCTGGCTGCTGCCCTGAGCAGCTGTTGCTCTGTAGACTGTGTTGTAGAGGCCACAGGCATCATTGTTGATGGTGCTAAAGGAGTGCATGTTCATCACACACATGTTGCCCAGAGACTGACATGCTGTCTGGTTGGAGAACAACTACAGAGCAAAATGAACAAAACTTAAATATGTTCCAAAGCAAAGCCTGACATGTAAAAATTTTAAACAAATTTGTGCATGTGTGTAGAAATTTACCAAACAGGCAGCTGCTGAAGAATACATGAAGTTTGAAAACCATGCCGATAGGACAGAGTTGGCCTGTGTAACACAAATACATCACACTTTAAGACAACAAACCTCAGCACGCTAACAGACGTACACAAACACAACTCATGAGGTTAACTTTGAATTCTTACCAGTTGGCTAAAGATGACATTTGGGACAACTGAGGTAGGTAGACCGTTTGAAGGGAAGCACATCCCACCTGCCTGTAAACAGAGCAACGCAATCATCACTATCAATGCATCACATAAACATATGCATACACTACCAGTCAAAAGTTTGGAATAAACATTTGCCCGCCAATGTAAATGTCTGAGATTCTCACCTGTACGTTTGAAGTACCGCAAACACAAGACTGAGATGAGTTGATGAAGGAGTCCTCGCATCTTACACACCTAAGAATACACATGTCCAAATAAAATGAATCACTTTATGCGACATGAAGATCAACATGAAAATCCAGTGGCATTGATAGAAACAGCATAGTTACCTGTTGCCTGTTCTATCTGGGGCAGAAAAAGCGGGCTCTGTTGCATTACATGCTTCACATCGTGATTCATTTAATGGATTCCCATTCCCATCTCTCTCCACTGACCAATACAGACATGCCATAAAATCATAAACAATTCTGTGAGTGCACAAACAATTTGAGTGCTTATTTCGGAGAAAAAAACAGCCTACGTCTGAATCATATTTATTTATATACGACTGAAATGAAAAGCACTTACCCAGCACACTTCCCTTAGGACACTGACACTTGCCATTCTCCCCTGCACTTCCAGAACAACGGATACAGCCATAGCCATCCTGGGTGACCCCCTATGAATGAGAGTAATCATATAAATGTATGAAAGTATTAGTATTCTTAATTATTAATAATACAAGATCTTAAATTAATAATTTAAATTCAATACAAAACCTGATTAGCATCAGGACACTGCTGGCACGTGATGGACGCCCCATTGCTGACCAGCACCCTGAAACCAGTCTGACACTCACATGCCAGTCCTATATGACAGAAATACACATAAACATACAAGCTGGTTTACAATTAAGTGTATTATAAAAGTTCCGTGTTTATAATTACATCCATTTGAAACATTTATTTGTTTACTATGGTGCTATGTGCAGCTGCAAAGGCAGAATTTTATTAGCGCGGAAGCAGTTGATTCACTCTGAAGATACTCACTCTAGGTTAAATTAGCGATAAACATGACTATATATCAGCAAATGACTGCTGTTTAGTGTACAACGCCTATCATCTACAGGTTAGGTTGGTCAAAACAAAGCAAACTAATCTGTGCTAAGCGTACCCGATTTGCTGCTGACTTGATTCGGCCCACATTTCACACAAGACAAGCTCGAAATATCAAAATAACTGTCCACACCACAATCCGAAGGCTGCTGAAAAGATACAGAGAACTGCTGGCAGAAAAAAACGTTTCGTTTGAACAGGAATATGATGGAGAAACTGCACATAAATGGTCTCAGCGTCCCCGTCGCCATGGTGCAGATGATGCGTGATGACGTGCCGCTTCCTGGTCACGCTAGTGATGTTTCGTTTGTGAACGAATCGTTCTTTTTGAACGAATATTTTAGGTGAACGTATCGTTCTCGTTCACGTAATGCATTGATTATATTTCTCGTTCACTGTCACTGAAATTCCTCCCTCCAGAGCAGCGCGGCGCTATTGGCAGCGCATGCGCAGTTCAGTGAACCGGGTCGCTCTGTGGACTGTTTCGTCCTGTCAAAGAATGACTAAACCTCGAGCCAATAGCCTTAGAGTTTGAGATGTGACGGAGCATGTGATTTGTTGAATGTAGTGAACGAATACGCCTTTCACTGAACGAGTTTCTTTAGAGTCTGAACCTGTTTTTATACAGTCTATGGTCTGAACCATAGACTGTAAAAAAAAAAACAGGTCTGAACGAGATAGAGAGATCTTCTCGTTCGTGAACGAAATGACCTAACTGGTACATGTCGTTCGTGAACGAGTTGAATGAGAGTGTACCTGGTCAGTCGGCCATTTAAATGCGTGTATCATTCGATCATTCGTTTTTTGATTTAATATTGAAAGTAGAAAAATGAGAAAACGGCTCCTTTTTCGTTTTTTTGTTTTTTTTTCCAAAAAACGAAAAACGAGAATTCAGCTTAAATGTTCGTTTTTCGTTCAGGGGTAGAAAAATGAATAAACAGCTTGAATATTCGATTTCTACACGTGGGCGGGAATTAAACGCCCCTTTCTGCTGATTGGTCAGCCGAAGATTAAACCCAGCCATAGACAATTAAAATATATACATTTTACCATACGACTATAAATGACAGAGTATTAAGTTATTTCCCCTTGATGGGGAAAAAAATCCAAGTGAACGTCAATCAGTACTCAATATTAATTTAAACTGCTTTAAATATGACTGCTGCTTATTTCCTGTGCACTTCTGCGCTTGACTGTAGTCTGCTTATTGAGTTTATTTAACCCATCGCAATTTATTGGAACTGTGTGAACTAGAGTGAATATTCACCTTAATGTTGTTCTAAAGGCTTATTACTTAACACAAAAATGTCCTGCTCGCACTTACCAATTTAATGGCAGAGAATGGTGACATTATTATTATTTTTTTTTTTTGAAGCGGATGTATATCTGTCGTAAAATAATCCTATGCATCTCGTGGCGTAGCCTATATTCCAAGCATTCTGAAGGTATACCGAGGGTTTGGTGAGAAACAAACTGAAATGGCAAGTTATTATATTTTATGAAAATCTTGAAACTCTGCAGGACACCGGCCCTCCAGGTCCGAGTTTGGACAGCCCTGATTTAGCATGTCAATCTCGATCAGCAGAAAGCAGATGCAAAGTGCAGTTATAGGTACTGTGCATATACGCTTGTTTATATATATATTCATATTTAGCATACAGAACATAACTCCACGTTTAATCCCCGATTTATGAATGTGTAATTGTCTGACCAAACAATTAAAATGTTAATTATGCAAGAAAACCTTGTGCTTTGGTCATCTGAACAGCTTATTCAGAGTTTATTTATTTAATGAGTAGATTATGCACACATTTTAATAAAGCCAAATCAGTTTTTGTAACAAGTGAATACGTTCGTTGACTTAAGACATAACACATAAGACACTCTTTTTCGCCACCTGCTGGCGTATTTATGTAATATGAAGAAATGGTCACTGAACGAATCATTTTGGTGAACGAACTGAAAATGAACGAATCTCTTGAAAGAATCAAAATTTCCATCACTAGTTCACGCTCAGAGGGCGTCCAGAGGGCTTAAAAGTCTCTGCGAGAGGAAGTTGAGTGTTCCCCGCCGGACGCGCGAGCTGTGCTGTTTGCAGGTTACCGCGTGGTTGGTTTCTCTGACAAAAAAGTCGTGTGGAGAGAAACGTTTAGATTGAGGTATTAGTTTCAGAGAAAAACGAACGGTAAGTAAGTCTCCGAGGACGCATTCTTATCGATTGTTTAACTAGAAGTGGATTTCCTGAGGTGATTTTTGTCCTCTGAAAGTTTTAAACAAAGAGGAGAAAACAGTAGTTTCTACAGTGGATTTTTTTTTTTTTAAATGTTCCACTTAGATTGTAGAAACTGGTCTCAAAAGTTTGCTTTTTGCCTTTTTAACAGATCCCATTGGTTTGTAAGAAGAATCAAACCATGACAATAGTGGTTCTGCTTTTGCAAGGTTTAAACAAAGAGGCAGGATCTGAAGACATCCGAAGATTTTTCCATGGCTTGCACATACCTGAGGGTGGTGTTCATATCACCGGTGGCAAGATGGGTGAAGCTTTCATTATTTTTAACTCGGAGAGAGAAGGCCAACTAGCCATACGCTACTCTGGAAAACTCCTCAGAGGCTCTTCTGTTTTATTACATATTAGCAGTCTGGCTGAACTCAAGAGAAAAATGGAGTCGAGATTAAAGAAATCAAAGTCCACAGCTGTGGAGACTAAAACAGTGCCATCATCCCCACCTGACACCAACAGAGCTCTTTTGCTTAGTCTAATGACTGCCATTCAAGGACTGCATTCAAATGAAAAAGTGGATCAATGCCAAGTGCCTGAAAATTTCAACCAAAATGTTCCAGAAACAGATAAATGGTCCTCAACTGACAACCAAACAATTACGGATGATCAGCATAGTCTAACTCATGACATGGCACCTAAGGAGCAGAAAAGCAGAGGAGAAATCCTTAATTCCTGTAAGCCAGGCTACCTTCGGCTTTATGGATTTCCTGATTCTGTTCCCAAAGAAGAGATCTACCAGTTCTTACTGGGACTCCCAGTGTTGGAGGTAATCACAAAAGTTCGACTGCAACTGGGTTGGTGTTGTCTGGTGAAGCTGACCAGTTTCACAGATGCTGAGGAGGGGTTGAAATACAGCCACAGAAAATTCAAAGAATACAATGTTGAGGTCAGACTTGCCCATGAGAAGATGTGGACAGATGCTGTGGAGCAGTCCAAAAATTGCATGCAAAACGTCAAACCTCACACTTTCTCAGAGCAAAGGGAAGTTAACACCAAAAGAAATGCAATTAGAGGTTTCTCAACCAAAAGAAGTGCAGAGTCGTCGCCCTCACCTGGATTTCCAAAAAAATGCTGCAGAAACTTTCCATCTCCTCAAACAGAACTTTATGTTATTGTCAATAATCTTTCAAAGAATATAACCAAGACGGAGATCAAGGAGATTTTTGGCTGTCATGCAATCCCAAACTACAGAATAAAACATTTATTGAATAAGTGGGGAGAGAGGACAAGCACTGCGTTTATTACCTTTGAGGATGCAGAGGAATGTGCCTCGGCTCTGAACATGAATGGCACAACTGTTGGCTTAAAGAACATTGAAGTGTCACCCATTACTAAAGAAGAAATGTTTGCTATACTCAGCAGAAACAGATGTGCTAAAGTCTGGAGGCCACCACCTTATGGAAATACACATTTAGCCATGTCATGTGTATATGCACGCAATTTTCCTGCAGATGTCAGGAAAGAAGAGGTGAGAGACTTTTTCATGCACTTTAACGTCTGTGAAGATGCAATCGTATTGCTTGTGGACAGCCAGGGCAATGGTGTCGGTGAAGCCATCGTGCAGTTCGAATGTGAGGAAATCGCCAAACAGGCCCAGAGTCTCCATGGGAAGTATTTCATGGGAGCAAAAATTCTACTCACTTGCATCACACGTCAACAGAGGGAGAAGATACTTGGTACATGGTGAACAACTGGAGAAGTGAAATGTTCTCAGCACCTTGAAACACCAGCAGTAGTGTTAACTCCCAGTGTAAAATGTAAAGGAGGACAACCAAATCATTTGAAGATCCAGCGTAAGCTTTATCATTAGCTCTGTGAGCTGTGTATATATATATATATATATATATATATATAATATAAACAAAAAAACGTTTTCAAGCAATGTGCTCAAGCGATATTATAGGTACAACAATTGAAGATGCCCAGTAAGGATTTTAAGTACCACATGGAAGGCGTGTACCTAAAAAAAAAAAAAAAAAAGACACACGTACAGTACAGTGGTTGCTGAACTACAGTAGTCAACATTTGAAGTGGATCAAAGTTGTCCTAAGACAAGAACGGATATTGTTTTGGTTTTAGGACAACTTTGATGAAATGTTTTGATCCCATCAAATGTTGACTAGTGTATTAAGGTCTGCTACATGTGGATAAATAATACCCGTTTACTTTCACATTTATAATGCAATCTGAATTACATTATTTTGCACATTTTTCCTTGGATGTAGCTGCTGAACATGCAGCTTACTGGCTTCAATTAAAAACATATCACATGTCTTGTCTTGCATATTAATATTTAGTTATTTCAGTTTAACTGTATATATTTTAAGTTTAACAGAAGGAATAAGTTACAAACAAAACTTACAAACTGGTCTTTTTTTGACTCTAATTTATTCAGTATTTTGATTTGGCATCTGCATATGCATTCCTGTTTGTAAAAAACTAAAATGACCATTTTGAGTTGTTTCTGATGTCTTAGTGACCAGATAAATTTGTTTTTCATTTGACATGTATATTTGATGTTATATTGTAATTGAACTTAATAGAAATGTGACTTGCAATCTCAATTCAATTTCAGTCTCAAATTTTTCTGTTGGGAAAAAATAAGAAGTTTGCTTTCCAAGATACATATCAAGAACTGCTTATGAAATCTGTATAATCAACAGCAGCACACCATTCCTTGTAATGAATAAAGCTATACTGAGAGCAGTCAAGACCGAGGCAGAATAACGCTGCAATACTGTCATTGGTCATTTGTGCAGGTGGTACTGCACTACATCATGTGGACAAGTTGTTGGGAGTTGCCTACACGAGTATTCAAGTAGAACCCCAAGTAAAATAAAATATTGAGCATGCTTCTTTTGATCAATATCCCTGTGCCTACCTCATCTCCAAGTGTAAGCAAGCTACGGATATAAGAAGGTCATTGGAGAGCCAATGAAGAGCCTAAATTGTACTGGAGAACAGTGAGCTTTATAAGACAATGCAGGTGCTAAAACTGACGGAGATGCTGTATTCAAACTATGGGACAACCTGATTGAAGCAAGGACATCTGAAGGATATAGAAACTACCCACAAATCATACAAAAGAAACAAGGTTCTGTAAGGAACTATGAATTTATTTTACACATGGCAACAGACCTTTAGAAACAAGCAGTCACATTGTTTGAGGATCT